GGTTCATTAATTGTAACACATGTACCATACTAATGAAATATGTCAATAATGAGGAAAGACGGAAATGGTGTATAAAGAAACCTCTATACTATCTTCACAATAATTTAGAAATCCCATCAATTTAAAATTTCAATGAGTCAATATTCAGGTGTCACGTACTATCTTAAGTTCTAGGGAATCATGAGCAAAAAAGAAAACAAGATGCCCCTACCTCATGCAATTTACAGACTACAGAAGAGAAAGACAATCTTATTATCAAAGATATATAAACTGCAACTATGGAAATATATAATGTTATTATTTTAATCTGGGAGGTTAAATATTAATTTTAGGAGTATTCCCTAAGGAAGCAAAACTTTAGGTGAGGTTTGAAGGCTAACTAGGAGCTAACAAGTGAAGTGGAAGTGAAGAAAGAATAGCCCAGACAGAGAAAGCAAGTGCAAAAACCTTGCAAACACTGCAAGGGCCAAGGCCAAAGAAGACTAAAGAAGGCCAGCATGGCCTAAGATGGAGTTTCAGAGAACACATCGAAAACAAGGCTGGAGAATTATGCATTGTCAGGGACTTTTATTTTCACTCTAGAAGCAAGGGAAAGCCATAAAAGGATTAGGGGAGGAGGGAGGAGAGTCAGTCAGATATGTTTCAAAATAAATTACTGTGCCTTTAGAATGCATAACGAATTAGAGAAGGGTTAAAAGAATGGTGAGCAAATAAGAACAGAAGTTACTGTAGAATATCCAAGCACAGTGATGGTAATAAACTCAAGTGGTGGTAGTGGAAAGATTAAAAAAGTAGATGAATAAAACGTTGACACATCTGATGTAGCAGGGAGAGGGATGTAAGGTTCACTCCTACTTTTTAAATTTTATAATGAAAACATTAACTGAAAAAAGGAATAAAGAAAACAGATCAACGTTTTGAGGGTCTGGAAAGGAAGACAAGGAAATCAGTTTAGTTTTCGGTTTCTTGGACTTGAGATACCCAAGGGAGGGTGTCAACTAGTCAGCAAGATATACAGGTCTACAGCTCAGAGAGAGAAAGAGAGTAGCTGAGAGAAAGAACATGGTAATAGTATTCACCACCACCCAAGAAAGAACAAAATAAAATTTAAAAACCCACCCACATTTAGATTCAGGTTCAAATAACTAAGGAGACGTTAGAAAAACCAGGTAAGAAACTTAGACTTTTTGTATGTCTCAATATGAATTAACAGTAGTACCAGAAGTAGATTTCAGAGCAGATTACTTACTCAGAACAGTATTCACTTAAATAGTAAATCTGTTAAGGGGAAGAAAGTATTTCAAAAAAGGCTATATGTTTTACAAGAATCAACTGCTAACAGAAATGAACAACACCTACCTATGCCCATCTTAAGATAAAGGTTTAGAAGTTATGAAGAGATAGAATAAAAAAGAAGGAAAGAGAAAAAAAGTATATATACATAGAGTGAGAGAGGAGAAAGAATACTGTATAGCTGAGAATCTACAAGAGCTATTAGTGGCTTTCATAACTAATGCTAGTAGAAACCAAGAAGAAGATAACTTGCAGATCGTTTTGTTTCACATGTCATCATCTTCCGTAGTATGTGGAACAACTCATCTTCTAATTTGACAAATCCTGTTGTTCATCCATAGCTATATTACCTTAAATTCCCTGTTGAATTTGCTCCTTCTCCCATCCCAAATTTATCATTGTTATTTATGCTCCCATATTCTTATGATGTCAAGTTTATTCTTATAAAATTATGTTCATATTTTCCACTCCTCAAAACACACACACACACACACACACACACACACACACATATCCGTTTCCACGGGAAAACCCTTTTTACTACTACTTTATAAGCCTCCTCCAAAGTTGCTTCTTTTTTTTTTTTTTTTTCTTTTTGAGACAGGGTCTCACTATGTAGTTGAGACTGACCTGGAATTCACTATGTAGCCCAGGCTGGTCTCGAACTCACAGTGATCCTCCTGCCTCAACCTCCCAAGTGCTGGGATTACAGGTGTGCACCACCAGGCCCGTCTTAAAGTTGCTTCCTTTTATCATACTTCTTAGTATGACATTTAACTAGGTGTTCATCCACTGAAGAGTTATAAAGGAAAGGACCTTTGTTTAATGCCTAAAACAGTTTACTGTCTACTAATGTCTAATCCCAATGGAAGTAGAACAGAAGCTATGCTATGGTTTAGATCTAAAATGTCTCCGAAGTCTCATGTTCAGAGGCAGGGCTTTGGAGGGTGACTGGATCATGGGAGCACCACACTCATTAACTGGTACATCCACAGATGAGCTCATAGATAAATGTGCTATTAAAACTAGGGACATGATCTTGAAGGGTATATTCTTGTCCTAGACCTATCTCTTCTCTCTCTTCTTTCTGACCACGACAGCATGAGCAGCTTTCCTCCACCTTGCCTTCTCACCATGCTGTTTCTGCCTTGGAGAAACTCAGTGAAACTGTGAGCCAAAATCAACCTGTCCTCCTTTAAATTGTGAATGTCAGTATTTTGTCCCAGCAACCAGAGACTAATACAAGGGGTATACAGTAAACTATAGGATCAGACACCTGGGATCAAATTCTGGCTCCACCAGTGTAAGTCTGAGCATATTACTTTAGTTTCAATCACTGAGTTTCAATCTCTTCATCTATAGAAATGTGGGGTCTTGCTGTCTTCTAAGGTTGCTAGGAGAATTAGTATTAAGATATTCATGTAAAGTACTGAGCATAATGTCTGACAAACAGTTTACAATATAAACAAATGTAGTTGTCATTATGGTGTTAGATAAAATTTATCTTCTGAACTTGCCACTACCTTAAAAGAAAACTAATTTAGCATAATTTATTCTTCACAAAATTATGTCCATTGCTCCCCCAAGCGAGGATGCTACACAAAGGGAAAATTATTTTATTTTGTGAACAAAAAAAAAAACTGGTTACTTCAGAGAGGTTATGTTGAGCTGTAATAGGTTCCTTCAAATTTTAAAACTCTATGAAACAACCTTCAAACTTTTAGAACTTCAGCCTTCAAATAACACTTCACAACCAAGCCAGTAACCAAATATATGCCCTAAAACATACAATAAGTTTGAAAAGATTCTTATTTACAAAAGAGAAGCAATCATTAAAATATCTAATACAGAATGGAGAGAAAGAGAAGTTTGAGATGATGCTTAAGGACCACACCATCTTAACTGAAACATCTTATTTGTCATTCCTAGTAAAACCAAAATATAAAGTAGATGGCTCAAGTGAAAAACAAGAAAACGAGAGCCAACTACAATCAAAATTTAAATTTTTACGTTGAATTGTACCTAGTGGATTGGTGATACTTAGTATGTATTGAATAATGATAAACATATCATTTTACAAAATCCACACAATTGCCAGAGCACTGGCCACAGTCAACCCTAAAAAGAAACCTCAAAACCACAAATCACGAACTAAATAAATTGACACTATCACTTCCTTCAGTATGTCTAGGAAGGAATTTAGAAATACTAAAGTATTGAAGAGAAGGTTTCGGTATCAAGTTATAATCCTTGCATTCTACTGCTCTTGACCCCAAACAAGCCATTTACAGTTTGGAGAAACAACAGCCACACACATACCCCAAAAAGTTTTCATAAACATCAACAAGGCACAATCTAATAAGTAGTTTTGAATCTCTCTGGACACTATATATCTCTTTTGATAATTTGATTTTAAAATAACAAAAGGTCATTCTCCCTTGAGGAAAGAAATGCACTTAAACATTTTGGCATATAATTATAGGGGTGGGAATGAAGACCCTCGAAAGTCACTGAGGCTTAGACACTAGACCCCAAGTCACAGCCCAGGATTAAGGCAAATCACAATTCAAGGAAAACTAATTCATCAATTTGAAACGGAACCAAAGTAACTTAAGTATATTTTAATCCAAAAATAAGCTAAGAATAAAAATATTTTGTTTTCCTAGGTGTTAGACTTTCTAGTTAGGGGAGGGGCTTGATCACATTAAGGAAAACGAAACAAACAAAAAACAGGAAAAACCAAAGAAAAATATATGTAGCCTACAATGTACTTCCTCTGAAAGAGCAGTAATAAAATGCCTAATTCCTGCAGCCTTAAACAGAAAGGTGACTGAGCATGCAATCAATGGGGCGCACCTTTCTAAATCAATGCAGTTAATTAAATGACAAACGGGAACACACCCTTGCAGGTGAAAGAACAGGTTGATGAAAACTCCTGCAACTCTTCCTTTTTTCTTATCAAACAAAATTAAGTAAATATGCTTCAAACTAGAAGAAAATAAAGGAGAGAAGAGGGTGCCAAAACGATCTACGGGAAGAGGAAGGCGCCAATTTCTGACATCAAAAGGAACAAGAGGAAGATAAGAACAAAGTGAGGGAAGCAGTAATAAAAGTTAAGAGGGGAAAATGTAGCGTCTAAAACTTGTTTTTAAAAAGCCCCCGACTCTTTCCCTGTCCTAGACACGTAGGCAGCGGTTACTTGGCAAAGAGGAACGAGCCAGAAGTCACGGCCACAACTCTAGCATTCCTTGGACGTCCTCAGTCAGGCTCGGGACATTTCATGGGCGAGGCTCCTCCCTGCACCGCGGCCAGCGGAGCCTCTCGGAGGGACTACCACGACCGCCCTCCCCCGCCAGCGCGAAGGAAGTGGGGGACGCAGCGAGGAGAGAAACGAGGGCTGCCCCCAAACGCGAAGGTGGTCGGTTCCGTCACTCAGTATTTGGACCTCTTCTCATCCGACGCAGGCCAAGCCGCGGGTGCCGCCCAGCGGGGCCGGTCCAGTCCCTCCTCTGTCCTGCTTCCAGGGGACCACGAGGGACAGGGGGTGCGCAGGGGCGAAAACCGCAGGCGCAATGCCTGGGTGGACAGAGCACACACTGAGAACACAAGCGCCCAGCGAGCCCGGAGCTGCGAAGCAGGAGCAGCGTGCCCGGCCGCTGGCCTTCCCCCCCACCCCCCCCCGCCCAGCCCGCCCGCCCCGCCCTCCCCTGTCTGCGGGACCAGGCTGCTCTCCGGCGCAGGGTTCTCCCTGCCGCTGCTCTCCGGAGTGGCCTCAACCTGGCGAGAAGGGAGCGGAAACGCGACCGGACTTTTTCCCCCTTCCCCTCCCCCACGCACCTCGGATCCTGGGGCAGGAGCAGCCACAGCAGTCACAGGCTCACACGGACCAACCCCGAGGACGCTGGCGCCGGCGGCCTCCCAGCCCGGCCCCCAGAACCAGCACGTTGCGACGCGAAGCCGGAAGTGAGGAGGCCGGAAGTAGCGCTGTCCTTAGCCTTAGCCCTGGACAGCC